GCGCATGTGCTGCAACGACTAAAGCCTGCACACCTAGAGCTTGTGCTCCGCAACAAGAGAAGGCACTGCCGCGAGACGCCCGTGCTCCGCAACAAAGAGTAGCCCCCGCTCACGGCACCTAGACAAAGCCTGAGCAAAGCAACGAAGATTCAGTGCAGCCAAAAATTTAAAACATAATAAAAAATTTTAAAAATCTACCCAAAGGGTTTACACAGAAGGACCATGAAGTTTTCCTAATCAGCCTCTCTAGAGACTCTGATCTCATCCCTATTACTAACCTTGTGTGCTGTGCTAAGTTGCTTCAGTTGTGTCCGACTCTATGCAATGCTCTGGACTGTACCCACGAGGCTCCTGTGTCCGTGGAATTCTTCAGGCAAGAATACTAGGGTGGGTTGCCATGCCCTCCCCCAGGGGATACTCCCAGGAATTGAACCCGCCTCTCTTGTGTCTCCTGCATTGGCAGGTGGGTTCTTTATCACTAGCCCCACCTGGAAAGCCCATTATTAACCTTAGAGGATAATATGTTTACCAATGGAATACACATCCCTAAATTTCAAAGTTACAGTTTTATAAATACTGTTTTTAATGTTTATGTGATTGGCATCCTACAGGACACATTTTCTTTCCTGGCTACTTCCACTTGATATCAGCTGAAAAATTTTTTATGGTAAAGTGTATAATGTTCACAAGATGGATGGGTAAGTGTGCACTGCATTGCACTGCAATGCAGTCAGTTCACAGAATATCTCCAGTTCAAAATACCAACTATGGCCAGCTCCCCAAATAGCTCAACAGTCTACACTCCCACCATAGAGCATGAGGTTCCTATTTGCTCACATTTCTGCAACACTTGCTGTTTCTGCCTTTTGGGTTTTCCAGTCTGATGTGTGTAGAGCAGTATCTGGTTTCCGTGTGGTGTTTTTCCATTACCAGTGTGTTTGAGCATCTCAATGTGGATTTGTTTTCCATTCATATTTCCACAGTTCTGAAATAAATATTCATGTCCTTTGCTATTTTTATATTGGCACATTTTTCTTCTTGCTGATTTGTGGAAGTTTTGGTGCATTCTAAATAATTAAAAAGCTCTTGTGAGCTTAAATGAAGGAAATAATTGCTCCCATTCTGCCATTTCTCAATTAAATTTATCTCTGTTGTCCTTCATTTTGATGTGATCAAATCTATGTGTTGCTAGTCACAGCACCGTGGGATGCAACATTGTGTACACCTTCTAAAAGTACCCATGATCTTGGCTTTTACATTAACCATTTCCATGTTTTCTTTATAGTTTTATCACCAATGTATCCCTAGAAAGTACAGTTCACATAAACCTATTTTTGAACTTTTTATAAGTACAATCGTATTATATGTCATTGCCTGTGTCTTGCTTCATTTTTTTATTGTGGTATAATTTACATATAATGAATATATATTTAGGCACATTTGTAAATAATGGAGTTATACCCAACAAATAGTTTCTTATTATTTATTTATTTTCCATTTATTTTTATTAGTTGGAGGCTAATTACTCTACAATATTGTAGTGGTTTTTGCCATACATTGACATGAATCAGCCATGGATTTACATGTGTTCCCCATCCCGATCCCCCCTCCTGCCTCCCTCTCCATCCCATCCCTCTGGGTCTTCCCAGTGCACCAGGCCCTGAGCACTTGTCTTATGCATCCAACCTGGGCTGGTGATCTGTTTCACCCTTGATAGTATACTTGTTTCAATGCTATTCTCTCAGAACATCCCAACCCTTGCCTTCTCCCACAGAGTCTAAAAGTCTGTTCTGTACATCTGTGTCTCTTTTTCTGTTTTGCATATAGGGTTATCATTACCATCTTTCTAAAATCCATATATATGCATTAGTATACTGTATTGGTCTTTATCTTTCTGGCTTACTTCACTCTGTATAATGGGCTCCAGTTTCATCTATCTCATTAGAACTGATTCAAATGAATTCTTTGTAATGGCTGAGTAATATTCCATGGTGTACATGTACCACAGCTTCCTTATCCATTCGTCTGCTGATGGGCATCTAGGTTGCTTCCATGTCCTGGCTATTATAAACAGTGCTGCAATGAACATTGGGGTGCACATGTCTCTTTCAGATCTGGTTTCCTCAGTGTGTATGCCCAGGAATGGGAATGGGATTGCTGGTATACCCAACAAATAATTTTTTAAATTAGCAATAGACTTTATTTTTTTGGACAGTTTTAGGTTTACAGAAAATTGAGCAGATACTACAGAGAGCTCCCGTATGTACCTCAGCCCCCTCACATTCTTCCATCCTGCATTAGTGTAGAGTATTTGTTACAGTTAATGAACCAATACTGACACATTACCTTTAACTGAAGTCCATAGTTTTCACTGAAGTTTTCTCTTTGTGTTATCCAGTTCTATGGGTTTTGACAAAAGCATAATGTCATATCCACCATTACAGTATCTTACATATTTTATTATATATGGTATACACTTATATATACATATATATACACATATACATATATACACATATATGTACACATAGATACACATACACATATGTACACACATATATATACACATATACACATATATACACATATATGATATACACATATATATAACATACAGATCTATATATATAATAAATAATTTTATATTATGTATTTATGTGTAGTACACATGTTTTAATGAGTTTTGATAAATGGATACATCCACCCCAACCAAGATGTGGAATATTTCCATCACTGCTCAAATTTTCCTTATACTACCCCTCGTCTGTGACAGCCTTCCTATCACCATAGCTTAGTTTTGGCCATATGAGAACTTTAGAGAAATGGAATTGTAACTGCGTACTCTTTCATGGCTGGCTTCTTGGGATTCTTACATGCGGTTGGCCTCTGCATTGGCAGTTCACTTCATTTCATTGCTGAGTAGACTCTCCAGAACAGGAGGTCCAGAATCATCTGCTTCCCGTGCCTGCCCTCAAGTTCTGGAGAACAGTCCCTGGGGTGGGAGTTCCTCCTGCTTATTTCACATGCTCCATCGAAGACCTGGGGCCTCTGGGGCAAACTCACATCAGCAGGCAAGCCCCCTCTGGGCTTCTGCTCTGACAACTCCAGGAGCCCAAAGATGGTGGGCATTAGAGCCGCAGGAGAGAGTGGGGCTGGGCTGGGGAGGAGGATCCTGTAGCCTCTACAATGTGGCCTGACCCAGGGGCACTGCACAGGCACCAAGAAGCCCTTGAAAGGCAGTGACCACATGGCCACTCATCCACCAGTCTCTCTACATCAATTTCTGGGGACCCATGGAGAAGGGCACGGGGCCAGGCCCTGACGGTAGACAAAGATCAGGAAAACTGAACAGCAATAAAACATAAAACCCACAAGAGATTTGGAATACACTTAATGAACCTTAATCACAGCTCTGCCACCTTATAACTGTGAGAATATGAAGCTATGACTTTAGTTTTATTTTCCAAAATGTGGAGGAAGGTATTAATCACAGGTGTGAAAGTGACATTTGATGAGGCTTGTGAAGCCCTGAGCACCTGCTTCGCACTTGACAAACACTGGACCCTAAATAATCCCCAATTTGGGGTTTCAAGTAACTCATTCCAACAAGAAGCCATCATCAATCTGCTCAACAGCCCATCACTGGCCCTTACTGTGTCCTCAGGGACCCAAGGAGATGCCAACACTGACCCACTCATCCATTCGCAAAGGACCTCAACACTCACTGCCCAAGGTCTCTAGTTGAGTGGCTCCCATATGCTTCCCTTAGTCCCCCATTTTACTGATTTCATAGGTCCTCAATCACTGGCACCCTGAATGTATTACAATGTGAACCTCAAAGCCCTCTGATTCCTGAAGCTCCCGCTCCCAATCATTCACTGCCTCCTACGGTCCCCTAAGCAGTGGATCACTTCCTCAACTGTCCCCCGGCCCCAGGGATGGTTCTCAAGAACCAGGGGACAGACACAGGAGGGGAAGATCTGGATTCCCTGTCCCTGAGACAAGCTGCATCCTCCTGCTGAGAGCAAACCACAAGGGACCTTCTTTCCTTGTCCACAGGCCTTCCGTATTACCAAGGAAACCATGGTGTGGCTGAGGAAGTGTGTGTCTGTTAGAAGAGATGTGCTGGGGAGACTGACGGGGAATCTGTGGGATGAGTTATTGGTGGTGGGTCCAGGGTGAGTGATGGAGGAGATTTACAGTGGGTGATAGGGGGTGGGGTCTTTGAGGAGAGTGATCTCTTCCAGGCCATTGGGGAGGGGGGAGAATGATGGGGACTGTGTAAGGTGAGTGATGAGAGGGTCTTTGGGCTGAGTGACAGGGAGTCTGTGGGGGTGAATGATGAGTTTCTGAGTGTTGGGGGCAAGTTGGATGTATGGTTCATGAAGTTTCACCCTCTCCTTTTGTTTTTCTGTATGTATGTACATCAGTACTTTTGTAACCATTAAACTCCAAGTGTAGTTTTACTGTTGGATTTTATATCATTGGTTCATGAGACCTGCTCATTTGAGGACAGTGGACACGCATCTTGAGGAGGGACTTGAGTTTTGAAACTTACAGGAGATGAAGCTGGTTGAGCCCTTAGCACCTGCCTGGCGTGTAGTAAACAGTGAATAAAATAAAAGTCAGGTATCAGGTACCATGGTTAATTTCCACATAATCCTGTCAGCTAAATATTATGTTCATTATTATACCCATTCTGTGGATGAGGAAATGGAGGCTGAGTGCTGTTAACTAACTTGCCTTAAGGCCAAAAAGGAAGTAAAAGGATATACAGGGAATCAGTCCAACATCTGCCTCATTCTAAACTGCACACAATCACCACTATCCCATGGGGTTCCCACATGATCACCATTTCCATTTCCTGTTGCCTTCAAACAGTTTAAGTTTTGGAGTGGCCATGTCTATTGTGCCTACTCTGAGCTACTGGACATTTCACTGCCTATCCAGGACACCCTACATAGCCCAGCCTTTCCAACAAAGAGAAAAGTTAAACTCACCATACCCAACCTCGCACCATGACCTGGAAAACCCACAGATCTGTATCATATCAGGACACTGAATCACTGATTATCTCCTGTCTGGAGATAAGGATGCCAGAGGATCCTGAAATGCCCCTGAGTCACAGACATGGCCCAAGCTCTGAAAATCATTATCTATCTCAGTTTCGGTTCAGTTCAGTCGCTCAGTCATGTCCGACTCTTTGCGACCCCATGAGCTGCCAGCAATGCCAGGCCTCCCTGTCCAACACCAACTCCCGGAGCCTACCCAAACTCATGTCCATTAAGTTGGTGATGCCATCCAACCATCTCATCCTCTGTCGTCCCCTTCTCCTCCTGCCTTCAATCTTTCCCAGCATCAGGGTTTTTTCAAATGAGTCAGCTCTTCGCATCAGGTGGCCAAAGTATTGGAGCTTCAGCTTCAGCATCAGTCCTTCCAATGAATATTTAGGGTTGATTTCCTTTAGGATTGACTGGTTTGATCTTCTTGCTCTCCAAGGAACTCTCAAGAGTCTTCTCCAACACCACAGTTCTAAAGTCTCAATTCTTCGGTGCTCAGCCTTCTTTACCGTCCAAAGCTCACATCTGTTCATGACTACTGGAAAAACCATAGCTTTCACTACAGCTCCTCCAGGACCCTCCAATTCTGTGGAGAATTGTAAGAGGAGGTTATGGGATAGGACTACAGAGAATTCACCCTGGGGAAGACAGACAAGGCCAGCCTCCCTTGGGATTTGGGGGCTTAGGTGTCGATCATCTGAGGAAGAGCTTGCTCACCTAGATTCAGATGATCCACAGGTGAGTATAAAGGCCCCAAGAGGATCCCTTTAAGCTGAGTCAAACCCAGGGGCTATAAAACACCTTGCCCTATAGATATAATAGTCATCTGAGCAAGAAGAGAGAATAAATTGAAGAAACAACTGTGTCGAGAAGTGGCCTTGGATTTTCAAGGCATAGACAATAATCCTAAAAGGCAAAAGGAAAGGGGTGGGTATGGAAGTGTGGAGGGCAGAGGTGAACAGAGGAAACCTTGGCAAGATTACATGTAAATATAAATCCAATTAAATATAAACATAATTGTGTTTGTGTGCATATGTGTATACATTATAATACATACACCATCAATCTAAATAAACCTAGGAAGCAATGAGCGAGCAGAAAGCCCTTATTTGGGATCAAAGACTTGCAATTTGGGGCACAGAAATTCAAGGAGCAACCAAACCATGTCCCACATGGGAGTAAAAGTCAGGGGGTTTTAAAAGCAAAGAAGGGAGATTTGAATGACAAAGAATTTTCACTAGAGTTGGAGGCAGGATCTAGTGTTGGCTGAACATGCTTGAATGCCAAGGCTATAACCAGAGCGTGGAAAAAGTTCGTTGCTGTGACAAGTCGCAGGTGTTCTTGCAGAGTTCTTGAAATATCTGTGGTTTGGCCTAGTTGATAAGTTCAAGTTTCCACCTGGTTGGGGATGTATGTAAGGTCCACCCCCTTAATGGCCTCCTAGCTCCATTAAGGAAAAAAATACCCTTGACATAAGTGACTCCATTTTATTTCACATTTCACAACATCATATATATTCTCAGAGTTGGAAAAGGCAGAGTGATAAGCAAATAGTTAAAAGCTTTCAAGATTTAAAGACATAAGTTCAACTTTATTTATATATGTAAACAAATTTATTCATACATTTAAATTTATTTATATTTATATGAACTATATTTATACAGTTCAACTATATAAAACAAAAAAAAACCTTTACCTTGGATAGCAAATCCAAGGTAAATGAAATCAGAAGACAAGGACAAGCCAGGAGAATATATTCATAATCCTACTATAGACTAATGATTGTAGTTTCTATATAAAAGAATTTATCCAAATTTTTAAGAAAAGAAATATACACTAATAATGATGAGACACTGAAAGGCAGAATGGCAGAGAAGATTGTTGTTGCTCAGTCATGTCCGACTCTTTGTGATCCCATGAACTACAGCATGCCAGGTTTTTCTGTTCTTCACTATCTCCCAAAGTTTACTCATACTCATGTCCATTGAGTCAGTGATGCCACCCAACTATCTCATCCTCTGTCATTCCCTTCTCCTCCTCCCCTCAATCTTTCCCAGCATCAGGGTCTTGTCCAATGAATAGGCTCTTCATATCAGGTGGCCAAAGTATTGGAACTTCAGCTTCAGCATCAGTACTTCCAATGAATATTCAGGGTTGGCAGACAGATTCGAATGGAAAGTAGTAATCATTATGAAACCTACTTAGAAATACTTCACTTTCACGTCTATAATGAGAAATTCTAGTTAAAACTATAATGGGTACATTTTTCATTGGTAAGATAGAAAGATCCAAATCAGTGCTAATGCACACTGCTGCTGAGGTTGGAGAGAAGCAGAGATGAATCACATTATAGGGGATGGTGATGCAAATTGGCACAACCTCCTGGAGAGTCATTTGGCCATACTGTATCTATCATCACTGGTAATGTATGTGCCCTCTGACTGAGGAATTCAAATTCACACAGACATTTTAGCAGACAGGCATACCTTGGGGATAGTTCAGGTTCACAATAAAGCAAATGCCTCAATAAAGTGAAGCAAATAATATTTTTTTTTATTTTCCGATGCATAAAAGTTATGTTTACACTATATTTTCACATTACATGGTCCAGTGACTGTGCAATAGCAATATGTCTCTTAAAAAAAAATGTACAGGGTGTCCCTGGTGGCATGGTGGTAAAGAATCTTCCTGCCAATGCAGGAAATGCGGGTTCTATCCCTAGTCCAGGAAGACCCCACATGTCACAGAGCAACAAAGCCTGAGCACCGTAACTACTATATCTGTGCTCTAGAGCCTGGCAGCTGTAACTACTAAGCCCATGTGCCACAACTACTTAAGTCCACACACCAAGAGCCCATGCTCTGCAACAAGAGAGGCCATTGCAATGAGAGAAGTCCAAACACCATGAGGAGAGAGAAGCCCTTGCTCATCTCAACACCTCAAGGGCTGTTGCGGCAGTCCTTGCAGCAACAAAGACACAGTAGTGTCAAAAATAAATGAAAATAAATATTTTCTAATGTACAAAGCTTAATTCAAAAATACTTTTTTGCTAAAATATGCTAACCATCATCTGAGCCTTCAGAGAGTTGTAATCTTTTTAGTAGTAACATCAAAGATCACTATCACAGGTCACCATGAAAATATAATAATAAAAAATTTGAAATACTGCAGGAAATACCAAAATGTGACACAGAGACATGAAGTGAGCAAATGCTGTCGGGGAAATGGCACTAACAGACTTGCTCTACACTGGGCTGTCCCAAATCTTCAGTTCAGTTTAGTTCAGTCACTCAGTTGTGTCCGACTCATCGTGACCCCATGAACTGCAGCACGCCAGGCCTCCCTGTCCATCACCAACTCCTGGAGTCCACCCAAACCCATGTCCATCAAGTCGGTGATGCCATCCAACCATCTCATCCTCTGTCGTCCCTTTCCCCTCCTGCCTTCAATCCTTCCCAGCATCAGGGTCTTTTCCAATGAGTCAGTTCTTTGTGTCAGGTGGCCAAAGTATTGGAGTTTCAGCTTCAACATCACTCCTTCCAATGAACATTCAGGACTGATTTCCTTTAGGGTGGACTGGTTGTATCTCCTTGCAGTCCAAGGGACTCTCAAGAGTCTTCTCCAACACCACAGTTCAAAAGCATCAATTCTTCTGCGCTCAGCTTTCTTTTTAATTTTTTAGTTTTTAAATTTAAAAAAATTTTAATAAGTGTCATAAGGAAGGAATAGGTGACATAAGATGGGCTTTTCATGATCACATATCCTCCAGACAGCAGGCATACAGGAAAGGTCACCTGGTCCTCTAATCCATAGAGCAGAGCCTCCAAATACTTACCAAGGTCTGTGTTGTCATTCACCTTGCATCCTTGATTCTATGCACTGTGCAGTTTTCTACAAATAAATCAAATTTCTGCTTAAATTGGTTGCTAATGACTTCTGTTGTTTACCACCAAGATACTGCATGCAGCCGATACAGTCTGATGGGCCTTAAGATGGTGTCCATCAACAATCAGGGTGATACAGTGAACCGGTGCTGCTCTCGCTGTTTGTCGGGTCAGTCCTGGGTCATTCCAGGATGTTCAGGAAACTCCTGAAGGCCTGCCATCTTCTCTTTGACCCCTACAGCCATCAGCTTGCCTCACACTGACTGGGTGCAAACCCTGGAGAGCAAGAGCCTCCCGCCTACCTGCTGCACCGGGGGACGGAGCCAGCAAGAGGGGCTTTGGGGCCACGGAGCTCGAGGCCAGGGGTGGGGAGGACTAAGCCAGCTGCGTGGTGCTGGGTCTCAGCTTTCTATATAGTCCAACTCTCATATCCATACATGACCACTGGAAAAACCATAGCCTTGACTAGATGGACCTTTGTTGGCAAAGTAATGTCTCTGCTTTTTAATATGCTGTTTAGGTTGGTCATAACTTTCCTTCCAAGGAGTAAGCGTCTTTTAATTTCATGGCTGCAATCACCATCTGCAGTGATTTTGGAGCCCAGAAAAATAAAGTCAGCCACTGTTTCCCCCTCTATTTGCCATGAAGTGATGGGACTGGATGTCATAATCTTAGTTTTCTGAATGTTGAGCTCTAAGCCAACTTTTTCACTCTCCTCTTTCACTTTCATCAAGAGGCTCTTTAGTTCCTCTTCACTTTCTGCCATAGGGGTGGTGTCATCTGCATATCTGAGGTTATTGATATTTCTCCCGGCAATCTTGATTCCAGCTTGTGCTTCCTCCAGCCCAGAGGTTCTCATGATGTACTCTGCATATAAGTTAAATAAGCAGGGTGACAATATACAGCCTTGGCGTACTCCTTTTCCTATTTGGAACCAGTCTGTTGTTCCATGTCCAGTTCTAACTGTTGCTTCCTGACCTGCATACAGATTTCTTAAAGGAGGCAGGTCAGGTGACCTGGTATTCTCATCTCTTTAAAAAAAGCGGGGTGGAGGGTGCAATATCTGTGAGGCACAAATGAAGTCAAGAACAATAAAATGAGAAATGCCTTAGTCCTCTCAAAAATTATCTCACTAACGTCACGAAAGATTCTTTAAAGGCTCTCATTACTAAGGAAATCACGAAGCTTTTAGGAGTTCTCTGCCAAGTTCTGCACCTTTGGGCTCCCGATAGATCTTTGCCTCTCTGGACAGTCTTGACAGGGAAGAAGAGGCCATATAGTGAGAATGGGGCTTTAAATCACTGTGAAAAGTACAGAGAAAGGATATTTTTCAGAATATGCAAAGATATTTTTCTCCTGGAACTATATCTACACACGTATTTTTTTTTCTTTTTTCATTCAAAAATAAGTCTTTTTACACACGTATTTAATTGGTCCCTCACCAATGGGAAACAACACCAAGACTTCTATGAACATTGCCCAGTGAGTTCCCTGGCTGTACGGAATGGAGTCTTTGAAAATGGCGTCCTCCTTAATATAATCCTCTGGGCGCGGCCATGTTGTTCTCCCGATACAGTCCCTGAAGGAAAATGAACCGCGGAATAGACCGACGGACTTGATACGCCATGATAACTATTGGCAGACAGTGGCTTCCAAGGTGTTAGTGAGCATGAGCAACGTTCAAACACAGCCTCCCAAATCCTGACTGGAATTCGAATCGGAAGTGGCCCAGAGCGGCCATTTCGCTTCTGTTGTCAACTCCTCTAACCTGTGAATCGCCTGTGGGATGCTGAGGTGATTTCGAACATTAGCAGTGGGGAATCTGCGGGGTCGATGAGGGAGAATCCGTTTGGTGTGAGTTATGTTGGGAATTGGGGTCCGAGTGTTGGGGGTCTGTGGAATGAGTGGTTTCGGGTCTGCGGAGTGAGTGGTGGGGTTCTTAGTGATGGGAGCTATAGGGTAAGTGCGGTTTTCTAATTTAATGCTTGGCTCGTTGATTTTCGCTCTTTCTTGCGTTATTTCTATATGTATAGAAGTATTTTTCTAACTTGAATTCCAAGTGTACTTTAATATCAAATTTTATATTGTCGGCCCATGAAATTTGTTTATATAATAGTGAACATGGGTCTTGAGAGGGCTTTGGTATGGTACTGGGAACCATTTGGGGATGTGATCCACTGCTTGGGGGACTGTAGGAGGCAATGACTGACTGGGAGCAGGAGCTTTGAGGGTCACATTGTAACACACTCAAGGGAGACAGTGATTGAGGGAGGATCTGTGAAATCAGTAAAGTGTTTGGGATGCCAAGGACAGCATTTGGGAACCAGCTGATGGGAGACCTAGTGGGCCAGTGATGGGTTTGTGAAGCTGACTGATTTGCTTTCTGGACAGTGAGTGTTGTCCTTTGGAAATGAATGAGTGTGTCAGTGTTGGTCTCAACTTGGCTTTCTGTGGACATGGCTAAGGATAAGTGCTTGGGTGTTGAGTGAATCAATGATAGTTTCCTCCTGGGGTGCATTATTTGGAACCGTATGTTGGGGGTTATCTAATGGTGATTGGGAGTCCTAGTACATGTCTGCAGGTTTTCCAAGTGAAGGTGGGGTTCCATACATTGAATTTGAGCTTTGTCAGAAAAGGTTGAGCTGTCTGTATTATGGATGGGCACTGAAATGTCCAGAACCTCAGTTCCAGACATGGGCTACCTGAAGCCTAAACTCTCTGAAGGCAACAGGAAGTGTAAAGGGTGTTTCTGGAAACTGACTACATAGAAGACCACACGGAACAGTGGCAACTGTGTGCAGTTTAAAGTGAAGCAGGCCTGGGCCGCCTCAGAATCCCTCAGCTTCCCTTTGGAGACTAAGTGACCTTAAGGCAATCTAGGTAACAGCAGTTAGCTTCAGTTTTCCTCATCCATGAGGAAATCCATGGGTATGATAGTGAAAGTTGCTCAGTCTGACTCTTTGAGACCCCATGAACTGTATAGTCCATGGAATTCTCTAGGCCAGAATACTGGAGTGGGTAGCCTTTCCCTTTTCCAGGGATCTTCCAACCCAGGAATCGAACCAGGGTCTCCTGCATTGCAAGCAGATTCTTTACCAACTGAGCTATCAGGGAAGTCCTCAAATGAGTATAATAATGATAAGTAGCTGACAGGGTGGTATGAGAATTACTCAAGGTATCTGATACCTGACTCAGCAACTTGCTGATTTTTATTCAGCAAGTAATAAATAAAATAATTTTTATTTTTTATTGTTTATCATGTGCCAGGTTCTGAGGTTCTGAGGACTTGACAAACCTCATCTCATGGAAGTTTCTCAATGCCTATGATAATACCTTCCTTTTCATTTTGGAAACTGCCACTAAAATAATATCTTTCTCTTCTCGTAGTTAAAAAGGTGTGTCAGAGCTGCAATTAAATCTTCATGAACTTTAGTCCAAATCTCTTCATCTTTTCTTATTTTTTACCCCAATAGATAGATTCCTGAGTTTTGTTTACCCTCATGTTGTGAACACAGTGACTTTCACCTAGTGGCCCTCAGAAATTCCTGTGGAGTGGATATTAAATGAGTAATGATGTGGTTACTGCCTTTCCAGGATTTCCGGTGTCCCTCCAGAGCCCCTGGGTCAGGCCACATCACGGAGACTGCAGGATCTCCCTACACAGCTCAGGTTGACTCCTCCCAGCAGCTCTGATTGGAGCCTTCTGATGCCCACCCAGCTGCAGGCTCCTGGGAAGAGTGGAGTTGTCAGCAAAAGAGACCAAGAATTGAAGCCCAGAAGGGACATGCTTGCTGACGCAAATCTGCCCCAAAGGCCCCAGTTCTTGGGTTCAGAGGAGCAGGATGGATCGTGTGAGGTAAGCAGGAGCCATCCCCACCCCAGTGGCAGTTCTCCGGAACTTGAGGGCAGACACAGGAAGCAGCAGACTCCGGACTCCCTGCGTCCAATCTGGATTCTCCTGCAGAGAGCAGAGCACTGATAGCTAACGTTTCCTCATCCACAGGCACTGTCTTGTAGAGGAAACTGAACTGACCGATGCAGGAGGATGTGTAGGAGAAGAGGGTTGGCCCTGGGGAAAAGGAAGGAGAAAAGGTAGCTGCAGCCACAGGCCAGGAAATGCTGACTCCTTCCTGCTCAGCACAGGCATCCTTCACGCATGTGTTCATCCTCCATCCACTGCTGGGTCTTTGCATTGTTTCAGCTGATCCCCACCTGACTCCTCACTGGAGATTGGCTGGTTTCTCCTCTGTCCTCAGAATTTACAGTCACAGGATACTAGAGCAAGAACTGGCTTTTCAGGACTGTGAGGTTTTTCCTCTTTTAAAAGATAAAAGTGGCCAGGAATAATGCAGATATTAATATTTGATATTTTGGAATGAGGAAGCAGGGTTCGTGGTTATACTCTTCCTGAAATTCTAACTTGTTCTGTGTATTTCATGACCTTTCGTGTGTTTTTAAAATAAAATCGACCCACTCTAAGGACCTCATTTTAACTTTGTTACCACTTTAAATACTGTGTATCTCCAAATACAGGCACATTTTGAGGTTCTGGGGGTTAGGATTTCAGCATATGAATCAGTGTGGAGGCGGGGGGTGGGGGGTATCACAATTCAGCCCACAATAGTGGCAAACACTGCCTTGTAGAAAAATGTATTTCATTTTGTGTTGGAGTTGGCTGAATTTTAAGAGCACTTCATGTACAGTTAAGGTGTTATGATGCATGATATTAGGTTGGCCAAAAGGTTTGTTCAGGAACATATAGAAACCATAGACTTTTTGGCCAACCTAATCCTTATTAGCTTTTTTCTTATTTTAATATTAAATAAGATATTAATATCTTATATCAATAAGATATTAAATAAGATAGATAAGAAAACAATAAAAATATTGTTTTCTTGCCCTGATCTGATTTCATACAATATGAAACAGGTAGTTAGTGGGAAGCCATATATAGCATGGTGAAGTCATTAAAAACACACCCTTGTATATAAGTTCACCAGTGATGACTAATTCTCATTGAGCTGGGGTATGTTGTTATAGGGGTTAGTGTCTTTTGAAGATGTGACCATGGACTTCAGCAGAGAGGAGTGGCAGCAGCTGGACCCTGCGCAGAGACACCTGTATCAGGATGTGATGCTGGAGATCTACAGCCACTTTTTCTCCGTGGGTGAGCACACCTGATGTGGGACTCTTGGACGGGCCTCCATGAGATGTCCTTCCTTCTTGTGGCATGTAGTGGGACATCTGAAGAATGTTATCAGTTTGTCCTGGGCTTGTCCCAAATTGTTCATTCCTCTTGGGAATCTTTGAATGTTACCTTGTTCCTAATAAAAGATGTGTCAATGAAAGAAAGCTTCATTGAATGGCCTCTGAAGCCCAATGTACATCTGCACGCTAAGTCACTTCAGTTGTGTCCGACTCTTTTCAACCCCATGGACTGTAGCCCATCAGGCTCCTTTGTCCATGGGATTCTCCAGGCAGAATACTGGAGTGGGTTGCCATGCTCTTCTCTGAAGCCCAATACCACATCCTAATGCAATATCCTTTCTTATTCACAGGGTATCACATTCCCAACCCAGAGATCATTTTTAGGATTGAAGAAGGAAAGGAGCCATGGGTGAGAGAAACTGAACTCCCATGTCAGAGGTATCATGGTGAGTGACTGTCAAGTCATGTAGATCCATGAGGGGCCATTATTCAACCTACCACCCTTATCCATTCCCCCAGTGGTGGACACATGTTATCTCCTACTCCTTAAAACAAATGCTGCCATACATTATTTTGTAACATGGCATTAAGGCTAATGCTGCCATACATTATTTTGTAAATGTTCTGTGAAGTGAAGTGAAGTCGCTCAGTCGTGTCCGACTCTGCGACCCCATGAACTGTAGCCCACCATGCTCTTCCGTCCATGGGATTCTCCAGGCAAGAATACTGGAGTGGGTTGCCATTTCCTTCTCCAGGGGATCTTCCCGACCCAGGGATCGAACCCAGGTCTCCCGTATTGCAGGCAGACGCTTTAAGCTCTGAGCCACCAGGGAAGCCCCAAATGAGAAAATGAAAGTCACTCAGTCGTGTCCAACTCTTTGCCACCCCATGGTCTATACAGTCCATGGGATTCTCCAGGCCAGAATATTGGAGTGGGCAGCCTTTCCCTTCTCCACAGGATTTTCCCAACCCAGGGATCAAACCCAGGTCTCTCACATTGTAGGCAGATTCTTTACCAGCAGAATGTTCCGTAGGGGCCAACATAAAAATTTCTCAGAGGTGAATAGTCAAGGGGGATTGCCTGATCACTGGATATGACTACACTTAATCTGGCTAAGTAAATCATTTTTACATCTTGCTTGCCAATAGATATAATATTTATCAAATTTCTTATTTATGGCCCATATTATGATAGAGCTGTTTTCATTTTTCTAGGAATAGAGCATTTCATCATATCTGTTATCTGATTGGATTTTCCATCTGTATGTTGCTTTTGTCGTCTCATTTTATCCCTTTATGGAATTTCCTGAAGGCCTTTTTATTTGTCCTCTGAACTCATTTTTTTTCTGCACTGAATCCTTCTTCTTTATCCCTAATTGTGGTGCCTCCAACTTGGGCCCCTGTACTTCCCTCTGGTCATCCCTTCATAGAGGAATTACTTTGAAGGACTCTTCTTTTCTCAACACTTAAGCCTAAAATTTTTTTTCCTGATGATCCCTTATCAGTGCCTCCAGTCCCCATGCCTAAACCATGTTCTCTTATTTAGCTTCATGGTGGACAGTTCCTGTGGGATGTCTCATTTCCTTTATTTTGAGGAAATCAGAAATTGGAATCATTATGCACAGCAGACTGGAGAAGGGAATGGCAATCCACTCCAGTATTCTTGCCTGGAGAATCCCATGGACAGAGGAGTCTGGCGGGCCACAGTCCGTGTGGTCAGAAAGAGTTGGACATGACTGAGCGATTAACACTACTACTACTACTACTATGCATATCAAAGGTGGCAGAGGAATAGGACGGGGAGACCACTTTCTCCCCTACAAATTCATCAAAAGAACATTAGAACACTGAGCAAACTCCACAAAACAACTTCTGATCACTAGCAGAGGACATCAGGTGCCCAGAAAAGCAGCCCATTGTCTTCGAAAGGAGGTAGGACAAAATATAAAAGAGAGACAAAAGAGCTAGGGACAGAGACCCATCCCGGGAAGGGAATCGTAATAGAGGAAGTTTCCAAACTCCAGGAAACTACAACTATGCATATCAGAAATTCTTCTCGCCTTATACGTTTTGTCCAGAAGATTCTTCTATTTCTTGGCTCTCCCATCTTAGTCTTCTAACTTGTTATTTTAGAAATTCTACTATATTTTCTTTTTAAAAGCAGTTAAGTTGACTCTTTTTCTTAATTCCAGGGGTATCACCATAAACCAGCTATTTTCTCATGCTTGGGTTATTTTGTTCCTAATGGGATTTGTGGATTCCCAGTCATCATGAGTTCAGTCAAGATGACATTGATAAATTACCCCAAAGATTGATTTCTTTTTCTCAGATTTTAATGCTATATATAAATAGTAAAAATAGTAAGATAAGAAATAAAATTATTACTAAATTATTACTAAAAATAGTAAAAATAAAGATCATTCTCATTTTTAAAAAAGTGATAGATGACTGAGGTTTGGGAACAGGACAAGGGTCTAGGATAGTTTATCCAAGTGATTGAAAGAGAAAGGAAAACAAGACATGATGGTCGTAACCATACTCAGTGTTTAAATCTCTGATAGGATAAAGTAATAGTAAAATTCAGCCACCTTTTTTTAAAGACTCTGTTTTGTCTTATGTTCTTACTAGTAAACTAGATGATCAGTGACTTCTGTTCTTAACCAAAAAATGGTATATTGAGTAGCATTAGGCTGAAAGTTATAACAAAGAGACCAAGATCCAGTATAATAATTTCCAGAATAATTTTCTCCCTATAAAACACTTATAAAAGTCAGGTCAGCAGGAAGCCTTACGTTTTGTATTCATTCAGGTGTTGAAGTTTTTCTCTTGTCATTGTAGTACCATCTTTTATGATGCTGTCAATCTTCAGGATTGAGTGCATTGCAACCAAAGCCAGGTTCTACTAGGCAGAAAAGGGGTGGAGGGTACTGAGAAGTTGTGATGTATTACTCTGGCTAGAAGCAGTGCATAATGCTGTATGCCCATTCTGTTAGCAAGAACAGTCTCACCGTCACACATCACTGCAAAGGAAATTGTGAGTCATTACGTGGCTTGGCTGCCATGTGCCTGGCCACAGTTAACCTCTGTGGAAGAGGGTGAAACAGATTCTAGGGGACAGCATGCTTGTCCAGTCTTCCAGTTTTCCCTTCTTGGGATATGTACATTCCTAAGTTCAGGGAAACAAACTTCAGTTTCATAGAATTGTGAGTTTGAGTATAGGTATTCTTTCACTGCTTGGCCATGTCAGGATTGATGTTTTAATAGTCTATCAGAGGATATCTAGGGCTGAATGATTTTGGTGTTGTTTCCAATGAGTAGGAGGAAGCTGGGAGATTAATCACAATGTAGACCTGTAACAAAAACCTATACAGATGGTCCCTGACTTGTGATGGTTCAATTTATGATTTTTCAACTTTACAGTGTTGTGAAAGTCATACACATTTAGTACAAACTATACTTTGAATTGTAAATTTTGATCTTTTCCCAGGCTAGTGATACATGGTACTATACTCTCATGATGCCAGGCTCCCAGTCAGCCATATGATCATAAAGGGAAACAACCAATACACTTACTACCTTTCTGTACCCAGATAACCACTCTGTTTTTCACTTTCAGTACAATATTCGATAAATTGTGTGAAATATTCAATACTTTATTATAAAACAGGTCTTTTGTTAGATGCTTTTGCTGAACCTTAGGGTAACATAAAAGATGCTTTTGCTGAACCTTAGGGTAACATAAGTCTTCTAAGCACATTTAAAGTAGGCTGGGTTAAGCTTTGTTCAGTAGGTTAGGTGTATTCAGTTCACTTCTGATTTATGATATTTTAAACTTACGATGGACTTATCAGGACATAACCCCATTTTAAGTCGAGAGAGAGCTCTGCACTCTGAACCCCTCCTTCAAGCTGTGGCTATGCACAGATGCTGCCCTATGACACTCTTGTCTCTTTTATCCTGTAGTCATTCTACTAGGTCTGGGTATCTAGATCACCTGCATGAGTGGAGTCGGGTTGCCTTTGTTAAAATCTTAACTTTCCCCGTGGCTGAGCAAAGTGATTTTGGCTAATTATTTAACCATTCTATTTCCTTTGCTTCATGTAGAAAGCCAGGATAATAAGTAGTTACCTCCTGGGATGGTTGTGAGGATTGAATGAGCTTACGTGTGCATCACATAGAACACTGCCTTGCAAATGCTAAGTGCTATACAGATACGTGCTTGACATATAGTAAGGGCTGTGTGACTGTTTTCTCTCATGATCACCATCAGCACTACCACTGGTATATGACTCAGCAGTTTCCCCATGCACAGTCTCAATCAGCTCCATGTGACTTCTCTTCTATCCTTTGCTAATTGTTCACTGAATCTATTTCATCTTGTTCTCCTTCTAGAAGGGGAGTTTGGGCTTGAAACCCCACAACGGGAGATTTCTGAAGAAGCTTCATTTCACAATGAGATGATGGGTGGAGTCACAAGAGATGGTTCATGGTGTTGCATTTTAGAAGAACTGTGGGAACAAGCTGACCCAACAGAGGGAGATCTGAAAAATCAAAATAAACCTTCACATCAGGGAGTTTTCTTCAATAAGAAAACACTGAACACAGAGAGGGACTGTGACTACAAGGACCCTGGAAAAGTCATCCAGGCAAGGCCCCACCTTGCTTCTTCACAAAAGGAACCTCATAAACGTTGCTCATTTGCAAAAACGCTGAAGCCTAACCTAGAAGCAACTCATCAAAATCAAAGCAGTACCACAAAACACGTTGATGACATGGTTGGATCTGGTCAGTCAGTCACCCATAGCTCTTCCAGTGCCAGCTGCAAGAATACTCACACAGGAGAGAACTTCCTTGAAGGTAATACATGTACAAAAGCCTTCAGCCAGAAACAGTTACTCACACAACATCAAGTTCATACTCAGGAAAAACCAGATAAGTGTACTGAATGTGGGAGGGACTTCACCCACAAGTCACACCTCCTTGAGCAACAGAGATTCCATAGTGTAGAAAACCTCCAGGAATGTAGTAAATGCGGGAAAGCCTTCACCTCACAACCAAAACTTGGGGTCTGTGTGACAGATCATATAGGTAACATACCGTATATATGTAAGGAATGTGGAAAAGTCTTCATTCAGAGGCCAGAATTGGTTACACACCAGAAAACTCATACTAGAAAGAAGCCCCATAAATGCCATGAATGTGGAAAAACTTTCTTCCAGATGTTATCTCTCTTCAGACATCAGAGAACCCATACGAGAGAAAAACTCTATGAATGCAGTGAATGTGGGAAAGGCTTCTCCCAGAATTCAACTCTCAGTATACATCAGAAAATCCACACTGGTGAGCGACAGTATGTATGCAGTGAATGTGGGAAGGCCTTCACCCAGAAGTCAACACTCAGCTTGCACCAGAGAATCCATTCAGGGGAGAAGTCTTATGTGTGTATTGAATGTGGCCAGGCCTTTATCCAGAAGGCACACCTGATTGTACATCAGAGAAGTCACACTGGAGAGAAGCCTTATCAGTGTCACAGCTGCGGGAAATCCTTCATTTCCAAGTCACAACTTGATATACATCATCGAATCCACACTGGGGAGAAACCTTATGAATGCAGTGACTGTGGGAAGACCTTCACCCAAAAGTCACACCTCAACATACACCAGAAAATTCACACTGGAGAAAGACACCACGTGTGCAGTGAATGCGGGAAGGCCTTCAACCAGAAATCAATCCTCAGCATGCATCAGCGAATTCACACCGGAGAGAAGCCTTACAAATGCAGTGACTGTGGGAAGGCCTTTACTTCCAAGTCACAGTTCAGAGAGCATCAGCGGATCCACACGGGAGAGAAACCCTACGTATGCACTGCATGTGGGAAGGCTTTCAATGGTAGGTCAAATTTCCATAAACATCAGATGACTCACAATAGAGAGAGAACCTTTGCCTGTTACAAGTGTGGGAACACCTTCGTTGAGAAATCAGAGTTAATCACACATCAGAGAACGCATATTGGAGAGAAACCTTATGAATGCTGTGACTGCGGGAAATCCTTCAGTAGGAAACCACAACTCAAAGTGCATCAACGAATTCACACAGGAGAGAGACCTTATGTGTGTTCCAAGTGTGGGAAGAGCTTCAACAACAGATCAAATTTTAATAAACATCAGACAACTCACACCAGAGATAAATCTTACAAAAGCAGTTAATCTGTGCAAGGCTTTACCCAGAAGTCAATTCCTAGTATGCATAAACATCATAAACATTAGTGAAACTAACTGAATTTCTTGAAGAAGGAAAAACATGAGGCAGATATAATCGTATATTATAGAATTCTTGCTTCAGAGAAGCTCTAGGGATGTACTGCACGTCTCCAAGTTACACATATTTTACATGAAGGAAATTACTCAGGAAAGAACTTTTAAGAATGAGTGGAAATGTCTATATTTGTACTAGCTTCATTAAAAGTTATAAAATTCATTTGAGGACAAAACCCTGACTAATACTTTGAGAAAAGAGTTTCTATAGAGTAAGACAGATTGTTACCAGATTATTTACAGGAAAATTTGTGGGAATTTATATTAATGATAACCCTGTTTAATGTGGAATATCATTATTTTTAGGCTGCCAGCAAACTCAATGATGACTTGGCAATATTATGTGTATGTGTGTGTATCTGTATACTTACATATGTATGTATATTTATATATGCAGGTCAGCATGTACATACACACACACACACACACATATACTCAATTCTGTAGTTTCTGCTACAGAATTCACTGTGTAACCAGAGGTGTTGATTATATATTTTTAAAAAGAACCTAACAATTGTTTAAACATTTACTCCCTATTGAATTTACATCCTGAGGTTGCTCAGTCAATAATTATTAATTTCTTTGTATACACAGATGAATGTACTTTTTTTGGTAAATGCATAACTGTGATTCTGATATTCATAGTGTAGTTTTTGTCTTCTTTCATGATTAGCTCAGCTCTACTACCCCCTTTCCACCTCCACCATCTATGGTGAACCTTTTAGTATGAAGTCTTTTATATGTTTATACAGGCTCTGAATCATCTGTCAGGAGTCAGCAAACTGGCCATCAGCCACATCTGGTTGGCCACACGTTTTTTAAATAAAGTTTTATTGGAACACAGCCATGTTCATTTGTTTGTGTGATGTCTGTGGCTGCTCTTGTGCTCCAGTGGCAGAGCTGCGTAGTTGTGGCAAAGGCCATATGGCTTGCAAACTGAAAGTATTTACCCTCCGGCTCACAGAGAAGTCTGCCAACACTTGTTATTCCCATACATTCCTAAGCGTACACCTATATAGGTACTCTTCCCTCTTTGTTTTGTAAATGTTGAATCATATCACATACCTTGTGCACTTGTTCTTTTCAGTCTACAACACAGCTGTTCAGTGACTGCATCAGTATTCTCTCAGTAAGAGGACATGCTGTGATTTATTCAACTACCCTCATTTTTTTGTATGGCCACACCCAGGACCTTAGTTCCCTGACTAGGGATCAAACCTGTATCCTCAGGATTGGGAACTCAGAGTCTTAACCGCTGGACTGCCAGGGAAGTCTCCATGTATTTTATTATTCTTTCCCACTCCCCCCACCCTTTTTTTTTCTGCTATAAGAAAGAAGTAGAACAGCATAATTTGTAAGTAGACAGGCCCAGGAGCCAGGTTCCTGTGCATCAGTGCCTGCTCAGTCATGTCTGCCTCTTTGCAACCCCAGGGACTGTAGCCCATTAGGCTCTTCTGTCCATGGGATTTCTCAAGCAAGAACACTGGAGTGGGTTGCCATTTCCTCCTCCAGGGGATCCTCCTGAGCCAGGGCTCAAACCTGCATCTCCTGTGTCTCCTGCATTGGTAAGTGGATTCTTTTTTAATTTACTTACAATTTAAGGGGAATTGCTTTGCGATATTGTGTTGGTTTCTGCCATACATCAAAATGAATTGGCTATAGGTATACACATGTCCATTCCCTCTTGAATCTCCCTCCCACCTCTCACCCCCTCCCACTGCTCTAGGTTGTCACAGAGCACCGGTTTGAGCTCCCGGAGTCATAGAGCAAATTCCCACTGGCCATCTATTTTACATATGGTAATGAACATGTTTCCATGCTCTCTCTCCATGTTCCTCTCCATTTGTCCCACCCACTCCTTCCCCCACTGTGTTCACAAGTCTGTTTACGTCTGCACCTTCATTGCTGCCCTGCAAATGGCATCAGTACCATCTTTCTAGATTTCATATATATGCATTAATGTACAAAATTTTTTTTCTCTTTCTTACTTCACTCTGTGTAACAGGCTCTAGGTTCACCCACCTCATTAGAACAGACTCAAATGCATTCCTTTTTATGGATGAACAATGTTCCATTGTATATATGAACTACAGCTTTTCTTTATCCATTCATCTGTTGAGACATCTAGGTTGCTCCCATATCCTAAGTATTGTAAATAGTGCTGCAATGAACATTAGGATACATGTATCCTTTTCAATTATGGTATTCTCGGCATATATGCCCAGTAGTGGGATTGTTGGGTCATGTGGTAGTTTCATTCCTAGTTTTTTGTGTTTTTTTAAGGAATCTCCATACTGTCTTCCATAGTGGCGGTAGCAATTTACATTCTGGCAGGTGGATTCTTTACCACTAAGCCACCTGGGAAGCCCTTGGGTTCCTGTACTTGATTCCATATCAATCAAGCAAGATATTTATCTGCCCCCGGTTTTCTTTTTTTTCTTTTTCTTTTTTTTGCCCCCGGTTTTCAAAAGGAAGATGACAGTAGTGCTACCCCACAAGTCTTTGTGAGAAATAAACAGGTGAATAAGCATTAAGCACTTTAACTATATGGAAAGAACCAGAGGTGGTCAATTTGAGTGAGGCCCTGTGTGACCAATGAATGGCAATGAAAGGATGGGGGTCAGGGATGGCAGAGAGAAGCCAGTAAAATAGTCTCCTTTAACAAGAAACTAGGTGGGATGGTTGAGGGGCTGCCCTACAGCCCTGGTCTCAGGGATTCTCTCCGGACTCCAGATACCCCTCAGCCTGGGGGCTCCTGGGAGTAAGGGGCCGATGTCCATGGTGAGGTTGGTATAGAGGGGCTGCAGCTCCTTGGAGAGCAGCCTGTATCCCAGCGAGTTTGTGGCATCATGTCACCACTTCCAGCGGATCTGGGCCAGAAGGCCAGGACTGGAGGGACTGAGCGGGCAGCCATGCAAGCTGAGGGCTTGGGAACAGGCCCAGGCCCACAACCTGACTCAGCTCTGGGAGCTCTGCTTGAGGCTAGGGTCCTGCCCCTCCTCCAGCATGTGGTAGCGGCCAAAGAGCAGATGAAGCCGTAAGAGGAGCATCCTGCCACGCTGCAGCCTTACAGGGGGGAAGGCATGAGGCTAGACGCGCGTCTCCTTTGACAGGGTCCCCATCCACACCGGCCCCTCAGGCCAGAGTGGCTTGTGTCTCCCGCAATCCAACACAGCTCACATTCCCACTCAGTGTCGGGCTCCCCATGGCCCCCGCACCATGGAGGGGCCTGCCGCCCCTGAGCGAGGCTCCCCACCCCTACCTGGCAGTGACGTCACTGTCCTCCTGATCCCAGCCCCAGCTGGTGCTGGGGAAACCACTGATCCTCAGGTAGTGAATGGGGCACAGGGCAAACACCCCTCCACGGTAGCCTTGGTAGGGCAGCCTGCAGAGGCAGGGAGAGTTGGAAGCACAGGGCATTTCAGGCAACCAGCCCTGGCCCTTTGCTGGCCAGGAGCACAAGGTTTATTGTGGGTTAGCCGTTCCCCACTCTCTCCCTTGGTAACCTCTCCCCGACCCCTAGGGTGTCCCCGTGCCTGATCCTGGGGCAGCTCTGCCCCTTGAGATGACCCCTCACATAACCCTGGAAAATCCCCTCCCTGAATCATCTTGGGACCCCATCAATGGTCCCTCCTATTATAAGTTCTCCTCTGACCTCTGTTACAACTTCTCTGCCTACCACTTTATTAAATGCATCCTGACTCCCCCACTGATAACTAATCCCACTCTCATCTGATACCCACATCCAGGAGGAAGGTTTTCCCATCTACAAGGCCTTTCCCCAGGCCTCTTCCTCCTCCCCATCATCAGCCCCAGGGATCAGGGCCTGGACTGTTCAGATGGGCAGGGCCTGGCCAAGAGTTCCCCCACAGGAGGTCCCCTCCCTCCACCTACTTGTAGTTGAACTTGTCGATGGCCATGGAACAGGGGCAGGGAAGATGTTGCAGATGTAGAGGTTGTGGTCATCCTCTGGGAGCAGGTTCACATCATGGAAAAAGACACAGTCCCAGTCCTCCTCCTGCATGGCCTCCCAGAACCCCACATTGCACAGCTTGCCCAGGTTGAAGGTGGTGTTGTTCACCTGGTGTGGACAGAGATACTCCCCACAGGTAGTGATGTCCCTGCCACTTGCCAGGCCCATCCTCTCTCACCTTTCCAAGTGCCATTCTGCTGCCTAGAACCCCTTCTTATTCCCAGACTTGTCCAGGAAGGCTCAATTCAAAGGTTACCTCCTCTAGGAAACTTTCCTTGAATCCCCACCCCCATCCTCGGCAGACAGCATCTTCAGTTTCTCAGCTCTCCCTTCTTGGCCATTTTCAAGGTTCTCAAAGATCGTCACCTTCAAGGGGTCGTCTGAGGGAGGCAGAGGTAAGGAGACTGGGGACCACCTGTATTTCTCTTTCTGCTCCTGCCAGACAATGACTAGGTGTGATGCTCATGATAAGATCTGCCCCTCCTCCTTGTCCTCCTCTATCATCATCTTCTTCATCACCATCTTAACCATAACCATCATCACTTATCATTACCATGATATTCATCATCGGCATCACCACCATTATCACTATCACTGTCTTCATTATCTTCAACATCATTAGCAGTCACCAAACCTCCACCATCATTATTACCAACATCATCATCATGACCATCACCACCATCAAAACCATCACCACCACCACCACCACCATCATCATCATCACTGTCACTTATTAAGCACCTACTATGTGCCAGGCACTGGCCTCATTGCTTTACACTCATTATCTCAATGAACCTTTGATTCATGAGAAAACAGTAGCACACAGCGCAGATTCCCCAAGTCTATACATAGTCATACTGAGGAACAGTGCATTGAATGAATGGATGGATGGATGGAGAGATGAAGACTGGTCCCAACC